CTGATTTGTGCCACCGTCACTCCCAGTCTTGCTGGAAACTTTGCATAAAAACTACCTTTTTGTTTTTTGTGAAAGTCATCAAAAGAACAACATTTGGCTGCTTCTCTACTCTTTTCAGGGCTTTTCTCCCTACTAATTCCTTTCCTTTCTGTTTCATATTTTGAACCTGAACTGGGACGGTTGGGTCAGTCTCTCACATTGTGAACAGTGGAGAAAACCTACGCAGTGAACAAATGATGCAGTTCTTCAAGGATGACCCCTGGTCCTCTCTATTGGCCCAAAGCTCCATATTGTGTGGCAGTGATGCTTGGCAGGGAGAGCAGGGGAGACATTGGAGGTGAGTGTCATTTTAAGACGGTTATATTCCCTCAGGAGAGAGTCCTAAAGTGTCCTGACTTGAAAATACATTTTAATATATCGACATCCATATCCCATCCCTTTGAACCATTTTGTAACAGCCCAGGAATTGTTCGTGGAAAGGAGGGCAGTGTAGCCATGGCACGGTGTGGGAGACAGGGTTCTCTAGAGAAACAAAACCAGGACACTGTGATTTTATATAAATATATAGGTATGGATATCTCTTTATATGGATTGATATATACAGCACGAAGGAAGACAACAGCTAGTTAGTTCACACAGCAGGAGAAAGCCCTCAGTTCAAGTCATGTCCGTGGAACAGTTAACATGCTGGAAGTCTTTCAGCTCACGAAGGCTGCAGAGTCCATGGTCAAGGAAGCAGACAGCTGAATTTTCCGTTGAGCAATGCAGGCAGTCCGGCCACAGGCAGCAAACAGCAGGGAGGGTCACCAACAGTCAGCAAGACAACAATGTCCTACAGTCCCCAGCTCAAGCGTTGTACACAGCAGCAGCATGGTTTTGAAGGAACCGTCAGCTCTAGCGACACAATCCACAGGTTGGCAGTCCCACAGGTGGAGTAGCGCAGGAGTTGAGGCAGAGAACTAGCAGCCGCACACTGGTCCGATCACCAGAGAGGGGGCGGGCCTTGCCGAGCCATTTATCTCTTTGCCCTCCAAACAAACTGCGACCTTATTAATTCTACATGCTTGAATTGGCCAGATTGGCACAATCAACCTATCGCACACAGCAACCAAATGTGTTTCCCTTCACACATTGACTCCAGCTTAGACAGGCATCAGTGTCCCACGTACATCATCTGTCACGTGAATCTCTGGCAATGTGTGCCACCTTCCACATGCAGTAATCATTGAGCCTTTAGGATCCAAAAGTTTCAGGCGTCATATGCCTCTTTTGCCCTCATTTACCATTTATGCTCGAAGTACAAGCCAACCCGACTATCAGCTGAGGCACCTAATTTTACCACAAAAACTGCATTAAAACTGTGCTGAAAAACTCAACTTATACACGAGTGTATGCGGTACATTGGCAACCACTAAACTGTAGTAAACCTATTCAAAGCTCCGATGTATACTAATATATATTCATCTCTGTGCGTGTGCACATGTGTATATATTCTTAGCTGTGACATGTTTACAGAATCTTCACAGACAACACTCTCTTAACTTTCATATGTGGAATATTTGAAAAATACTTAGACACAAGAGTCAGCAAGTCATCTATTATGAAAATGCCATTCATGCCATTAACTGATTTATTCTGTTAAATGTGAGAAGGGGGCACAGAGCATGCAAGTGTAGTGTGTTCGGTAATGTTGACCAAAAGGCAAATTCATCCCCAATAGCATTTTGCTTATTTTTCACAGAAATCTTCAAGTAGAGAAACTCTGTGAAAGTTATGCAGACAATCAGTGTGGGGAAACCTCCCGCCAGGCTCCAGACCTCACTGCGACACAAAGCAGTCTTCCAGAAGGAAATCCGCTTCGGTGCCGTGCAAGTGGGACCGTTTTCCTGGACCACTCATCGTACCATCTCCGTGTCAGGTCTCACACGGGATGCAATACCTGTGGCTGGGATCAGTGTGGAGAAGCTGTCTGTTGCCTCTCTAACCAAGCCACCGCTGCAAGCCCTCTTAAAAGGCAGAAATCCCATATTCAAAAGGGATGTGGGAAGGATTTCTGTGGTACAGCAAGTCTTTGGCATCCTGTGGGAACAGGCACTGGTGAGAAAAGCGATGAAGGTAACAAATGTGGGAAACATTTCTATAGTTTCTTATCCCTTTCGGCGCATATGAGAGATGGTGGGGATGAATGTCAAGAATTATCCAAGCCCTACGGTGATCCTTCATCCCTAGTTTCACATAAAGCATTCGATAGCTCCGACAAGCCTTATGTATGCCAGGAATGTGGAAAAGACTTTAGGTCTTCGTCCTCCCTCACCCAACATAGGCAGACTCACAAGGGAGAGAAGCCTTACAAATGTAAGGAATGTGGCAAAGCGTTCACTAGCTCCTCATACCTCACCATCCATGTCAGACTCCACCTGGGAATAAAGCCTTATGAATGTACGGAATGTGGGAAATTCTATGGACATCCGTCCCACCTTTCTAGACACCTAAGAATTCACAGTGGAGAAAGGCCGTACGAATGTAAGGAATGTGGCAAAACCTTTCGCCTTTCCGAAACCCTTAGGAAACACATACGAATTCACACTGGAGAGAGGCCTTATGCATGTAAAGAGTGTGACAAAGCCTTTCCTAATTCCGAAAGTCTTATTAAGCACAAACGAAGCCACAGTGGAGTGATGCCGTATGCATGTAAGGAATGTGGCAAACCCTTTCGATATTCATATAACCTTAGGACCCATCTCGTGACTCACAGTGGAGAGAGACCCTATCAATGTAAGGAATGCGGCAAAACCTTTAGTCGGCCCGATTGCCTTTCTCAGCACACACGGATTCACAGTGGGGAGCGTCCCTATGAATGTAAGGAATGCGGGAAAACCTTCAGGTCTTCCTCCCACCTTGGTGTGCACAGAAGAGCACACCTCGGAGTGAAACCGTACGGATGTAAGGTCTGTGGGAAAACCTTTGGACAGCTGTCAAACCTCAATACACATATGATCACGCACAGCAGAGAGAGACTTTATGAATGTAAGGAATGTGGGAAGACCTTTACTCGGCGCGATTGC